ACATAGGCCCTCCCACCTCGGATACGGCGAGCCCAAGGCACGATACGATTTTAATCCAAAGGGTCCAGCTTAGAGCTTACTTTAAGTGACACTGAACATAACAGATACTACACTTGATCACGCGCACACGAAGCGGCCAGGCCAATGCAAGAGCAGGCGGCCAATCTTAACGTGTCGGGGGATGAGGACGGGGATGAAGATGAGGGCGAGGCTGGGATGGAACGCCCACGCTACACCGCAAAAGCAATCCGCAGGAGCTCGGCCACAAGAAACTGTCCACAATAATCCCAAACGTGCACCCCAAAGGACGCCCATTGACCTGCTGTTTCGGGGCGCCGTGCTGTTTCTCCGACCCGACGTTTTGTTTTGGTTCATTGTAAAAAAAAAACATCGTAGCTAAACAAACCAGGGCGCCCTGGAGGGAAACAAAGCGCATCTTGGCCTGGGCTCCCGCTATATTAGTAATGTGCACGTTGCGTGACAATGTAAAACCAGCCACGAGACCTGGCGTAGTAGGTCGCAGGCGTGCCAAAAACAGCAATTGATGTGGAACAAGGAAAACAAGTGAACGATGATTTGGAGGAGTTGACGTGGAGGAACTAAAGCTCGGGAGCGAGGAGCGCGAGGAGCACGAGGATGGATTGAGACCAACGCGGTGGATGATGATCAGGAGGGCGACAATGAGGAGGGAGGGGAGTAGCCCTTTTGTGCCGCGAGCAACTAGGCTGGGCGTCGTGGCTGAGCGACGGGCGGCGTCAGCGCTGGGCCCTCGCCTTCGCCTTCGCTTTGGCCTTCGCCTTGGGCTTGTTGGCCTTGGCCTTCACCTTCCTCTTGGACATGCAGCGGGCCTTGGCCTCGGGCGGGTTCTCTATCTCATTGAGCCGCGCCTCCGCGGCCTTCATTCGCTTCTCAAGGTCGTCGAGCCGCCTCAAGTCCCGCTGCATGTCCTGAAGAGGTGGGGGCTAAGGCCAACAAGCCCAAGGCGAAGGCCAAATCGAAGGCGGAGGCGGAGGAGGAAGAGGAGGAGGAAGAGGGGGGGGAGGCGGAGGAGGGGGAGGATGAGGAAGAGGAGGAGGAGGGAGGTTTATAAGTGACGAGGGGGGGGGGAAGGAGCTATCCCCCCTTTCTTCCTCCCCCTCCTCCTCCTCCTCCACATCTTTCCTGCACGAACACTTGGCCGTGGTAGTCCTGGATGAGCCTCAGAACCGAGCGGCGATCCGCGTCCATGTGGCAATTGCCAGGGGGGGCGCCAGCAGGGTCACCGCCCCTCCGCGAGCATGCCCCTTTCTCGGCTCGCAGATCCGCCCCGAACAACACCTAGTCGCAGAAATCCTCATCGTCATCATCGTCATCGTTATCGTCCTCGTCATCGTTATCATCGTAACCGTCACAATGGTCATCAACAGCATTTTCACCACCGCCATCACCACCATCACCATCACCACCACCATCATCGTCATCACCATCATCATCAGTGCCATCATTCTCAATAACGCTATCATCATCGGTACCAGCGTAATCATCAATGCCACCATCACCGTCATCATCACCGTCATCATCACCATCATCATCAGCATCATCATCAGCAGCAGCAGCAACATCATCATCATCGTCGTCATCATCATCGTCATCTGCCATCATCAACATCATCATCATCGTCATCCTCACCGTCATCAACATCATCGTCAAACTGGCTGGCCCCGAAGGCGCGGTGGCCCGACCGACGGCCCCCCCCCGCGGCGGTCTCTTCCCCTTCTTGACGGGCCGATCAAGCCTCAAAAATCGCTCGGGCGAAACCGCTATGGACGTGGAGGAAGGCAATGGAAACCTCATGGAGGAAGAACATGAGGCGGGGAGGGCGGGGAGGAGCAGCAGCAGGAGGGCAGCAGGAGGATGATGAGCTGATGCGGATGATAGGGCTGATGAGGACGAGCAGCGGCGGCTGTAAAGTCTCGGAGGACCTCGACCTGCTGCGCTTGCCGTCGGAACTATTTTCAACTCGTTCACTCGCACAACTCGCCTTCCTGTTAATTGGCTCGGGCGCGCGAACGCCAGCAAAATGCGGCGCAGCGAAACGTCAAAGAGCGGCGGAACGCATGCGAACGCCAACGAAACGAGCGGCGCCTGCATGCCGGATCGCTGGCACGTTCTTCCTCCCCCCCCGCATCCCCCTCCTCCTCCTCTGTTTCCTCAGCATCGGCATCTGCATGCATCTGCCTAGTCAGCGCTCTGCCGCGTGATCTCGAAATCCGCCTCGCCCTGTTGGGGCCCAGGCCGTTCCTCGCTCGTTTACGCCCCCCTCTCCCCTACCGAACCTTCGCTCCTGACGCGCGTTGTATCTAGGGCGGGGGTTGCGAAGCATGTCGATACCTACCGATGCGCCATCGCTCGCAGAGTTTCCTGTCTAGGAGCAGCGGGCCCGACCCTATCATAAGTGCGCCGCATACTTTCACAATGTGTCGCATGAGGTCTTCAGCCATATAACAATAGAGCATCTTTGGATTCATGTATTTGGCAGCCTCCCCCAAATGATACATAAAATGGTGCTTATTTACAGTAGACCATTTGTATTTTTTCTGTTCTGAGGCATGTGATGCTAACGATCCATAGAACACCAAACATCTCTCCACAGACTCCATCAGCTTAGTGTGTTGGTCCTGAGTTAAATACATATCACTCTCGTCGCATATTTTGTAATATTCATTCAAATGCTTGATGCAGAGGGTCCGCATCCTGCGGAAGGGGCTGCCGTCGTCGTAATCTGCTACCAACTGCAAAATAACTGGTGCGAGATGCCGCTGCTGGGCGGCCTTCAAGGCCTTAACCAGACAGGGATACTCGGTATGGGGGCCATCTTGCTTACAAAAATACTTGAGTCCGAAATGTCATCTGGCCCAGTGACGAGGGGCTGGCAGGCTCGCGGCGAGGAGGGGGGAGCGAGAGGGAGGGAGGGGAGCGAGGAGGAAGGGGAGGGAAACCCCAGACGAGGGAGGATCGAGGAGCCTCTCCTCCGCCATCATCCATGAGCTCCCTCCATCCCCCCAACCCCGCCTCCCAACCCTATCCTCATCCTCATCCTCCGCCGCCATGGGTTTTCTTTGGATATCTTTGGCTCCTCATCCCCATTTCCTTCCTACCTCCTCATCCGCATCATCTCTCCGTCCTCCTTACCCCTCCTCATCTTCATCATTCCTCCACTACTTCTCCTCATTCCTCTTCCCCGTCCTCGCCCTCCTCCTCCTGGGGAGAGGGGGGGGGCATGAGGCCTGCGGCGCAAGCGGAAGCAATCGAATGAGATTCGGTACTTGGTCCCGTGCTCCTTATAAATATCTTGGATGCGGTTCCAAACGTGAGCGACCTGCTTTTTGATGGTCCACCCTGGCGGCCGTTGTTCGAAGATGATCTCGAACAGTGTGTTTCCAAGTATGTGCGACGTTACCCCCAAATCGATTGTGTGCATCGAATCGATGGCGATCATGTGAGCGTTGACGCCTACAATGCCAAAAATGGGATGATCGAACTTGTAGGGGACGTGTCGTCCGCGAACCATCCAGTGATTGGGTCTGCGCTCCTGTCGCAACATTCACCGCCCCACCCCCCCGCCGCGGGGAAGGGGGGGGTGGGCGCGGGGGCAGGAGGAGAAGGAGAAGTATGACTAGTTGATTCCCGAACCCTCTCAAGGGCGCGTAACCAATATTTCGAATGTGATCCAGCCGCGGCAACACTTCGAAGGTGCTCCAAACCCAATTCGGCTCGCCCTCGTTCATCTCCCCCCCGCAACTTTTCCCCCACCCTCTCGTGAGCTACCTACCCTTCCCACTGGCTTTCCTATCTCACCCCATCCTTCACAAAGTCATTGAATGCGTTGTCGGTCCGATTGGCGTCGCAAAGCCAACAGGGCTTAGTAGCATTTGGCGCCGGCGTGCCGAGGTGGTTCGAAAAGAACTCTAGATCGCCAAGGATCGAATGTAGAAAAGCTCTATATGGGGTTTCTTTGCTGCACAAGAATGAACCTGCCAACCTCCCTCGTTCAGAATCGGGCTCGAACCTTGCATTGTTCCAGTCCGCAACGCCCATTGGGCGCTTCTAGGCATTCCGACATGCATTGGGATTTTTACCCTTCCCCTCCCCTTCCTCCTCCTCCCCATCAAAGCTTGCGCTTTCCTCCTCCCCTTCCTCCTCCTCTTCCCCTGGTGGCATCTTAAAAAAGCCTTTTCCTCCCCCACCCCTCCCCCATTGGCACAGGCGAAGCCGCCAGAATCTCTCGTAGGGTGTTTCCCTGAAGCTAGCGCGTTGAAGCTCCACTTCAATATTTTCCAGATCTCGGTCCAACTATCCTTCCCACTATCTTTAAACTTCGTTTGCAACGAGTACGGTAGAGCAGCCATAAGAAAACTGACGTCTCGAGTCTGGCCTCGAGCGAGCAGGCCAGTGAACGAAGTAATCATGACGGAGTCGGCGCCAGTCATCTCCGCGCCGTCTCCGTGAACGCGCAGAGGTACACAAAAACGACGGTAGTCGCGCACATTCCACATTGGATGTTGTTTCATTCTAGGATCGTTCCTGCGGGGGGGTAGCAATGCGAATGCAGGGGTTCGTGCGTGCCTACATGTATAGGCATATACGCTCCCACTCCGTTCCTCTCTCCCCCCGCCTCCTTTCCCCCCCTTCCCCATTTCCCTCCGCGCCCCCTTTCGCTCCCCCACTCCACGCTGGCAAACGGTGCTCCACCCCGACCCCACTTCTCTCCCACCCTACTCCAAATCCCTCTGGCCCCCCTGTTGAACGGAGTGGGTGCGTGCACGAGCGGCATTCGCAAGTAATCAGCTCCTCGAAGCCCCATCCCAGAACTTGCCCAGATCTTTGATGCCATAATAATGCTGAAACTCATCATGATGATGATGAAAAAGTGCGCTGAACGAGTCATGCGGCAAGATGAAGCTAAACTCCTTATCCCAAATCTCCAACGTTTTTGGTTTTTGACATGGTATCTTAGCGACCTCCGCCGCGGGAAATGTGTTATCTTTGAGGTAGGCAGTAGTCAAGGCCCTGTGGATAGACCCAGGTTGCGACCCCCAAGCGCCCATCTGAGCAACTTTCGCTATTTCGGGCACGAGGTCCAACCCATCCTTGTAGGCTGCGAGCAGATATTCATGAGCCTCTGTGGCGTGGATGTATCCCCAGGCCCACTTCCGGAGCACGAGGGTGGACAAATTCGATTCTGCCAACAATTCTTCTGGCTCGTCCTCGGGGTCGGGGTCGGAATCATCGTCGGGCCCCGCGGGCCCCGCGGGCTCCGAGGGCTCCGAGGGCGCGGCAGGCGGGTCTGACCTACGCTTGCTCCGTGTTGGCATCGCCCTATCGCGAGGCTTGGGGGGCAGTGGCTGCACGGCGAGGGAACGATTCCACGCTGTGGAATTGGGGGAGAATGGCGGGGCCTAAATATTTTAGCAAACGCGGCACAACCCTCTGCGCCAAAGCACTCGTCGCGGCAAAGTGGCAACCGCGCAGGAATGCAAAGCTACCTTGAACGCAGAAACGGTTTCAAGGGGTCCATGTAAGCGGGTACGTGGTAAAACAAGCCATATGACATTTGGGACTCAAAACGTATAAGTAGAAGCTTCAGCGTGAAATGCGTTCGCAGGAAGCTGGCACAACCTGGGCGACAAATAGGTTCGACCTCATTCAAAACGCGGAGCCAGCCCCTACCTACTTGCCCTTCATGAGCGGAAGCGCCAACGCCGCCTTGAAAACCTTTGTGCTGTTCTTGAAGGCTTTCTGGAACGCGGCGAGGCTGGGGGTCGTGGCCATCTGGAGGTTCTCGATTTCCTGGAGGGCCGCCCTCATCTGGCCCAGCACCTCGGGGCATCGCCGCGGGGGCGCAGCGGGCTAGCGCGGAGGGGGGAGGTCGGGGGATGCGACAGGGAAGCAGAATGAGGAATGCATTGCAACAAAAGACAGGGGGGGGAGTTCCGTCAGGGGGATGCAAATTATAAGACTGCAATAACGCAAACAATGGGACATGCAAACAATGTAAGATAACGAACACATCATAATCAAGCTTATGAGAAATATTGCACTAACAATATGAACAGATGCTAACATAACAAATGATAATTCACGAAACCCACCGAAGAAAATGAAACATAATGCACTACTGAGAATGCACTCATGAGAATGAAACAACGGCGATGAGAATCCGCGGAGAGCCCCGAGGCCAGCAGGCCTCCTTGCCCTTCAGGTTCAAGGAACAGTTGTACGCGGTCATCTCCTTCACCATGATCTTGGCGCCAACCTGGGCACATGAGAGTAAAGGCATGCACGTGTCTTACATGCTGAGAATTTCACGCAGACAGTTATGTCTATCAAACGTCTGTCAAGCGTCACACACGTACAAACAAGCAAGTACACCCATCCAATTATGCGCGCATGTTGCGTTTGCACGTCTATATGTATATGTGTACAATCATAACTTGCGTTGATAAATATTCAAATAAGAACTTATGATAGCAAAAAGGAACTCACAGACACGAACACAAAACATAAGCACGCACGCACGCACAGACATGCAACCACGCATACATACACAAGAACACACACATGCGCCAGCAAGCTCCACACACACGCACACACACACACACCCACACACACACACCCACACACACGCTCACACACACGCACATACACACGGTTCTGCACGCATCTCACTAGTTAGGGGAGGGCGGTGCAAGCGGGACAATTGACGCGCCCATTCGGCCGAAGCCGCTGCAGCGAACTCCTTCGCCAGCTCGGTGGCGTCCTCCAGCGTGCTCATGTCCTCCTTCTTGACCTCCAAGAGCGGCTTGGCCAAGCTCTCGAACTTCTTGTCCTTATCTACCGTTTTGTTTTCATGCGCAGACACGCTCTCTCTCTCTCTATCTCTCTCTCTCTCTCTTTCTCTCTCTCTCGCTCTCCCCCCCCCATTGCAAGCAATGCGAGGGGCCCACAAATATAGATGCACCACCGCCACCTCCATCCCGTCGTCGTCTCCAAGGAGAGAGGAGACGAAGAGGAGGGAGGAGGAGGGGAGGGCGAGGGAGGCGGCGGTGGCGCATATCATTGGGCCCCGCACAATCCTTCCCAGCGCCGCGAGCAGCGCCGCCACCAGCGCCGCCGCCAACGCCGCCGCCAGCGCCGCCGCCAGCGCCGCGACTGGCGCCGTGACCGCGGCCGCGACCGCGGCCGCCCCGCGCAGTCCCCTGCAGCAAGGGGGCCTCCTCCGACTCAGGGTCGCTGTGCTCGTGCCCCAGAGTGTCGAAGTCGGCTGATCGGACAGCCGTTCTTTGGCAGTGGCACAGAAGACAATGCAGAAACACCATTATGATAATGCAATAATATGATATCCGAGTCACGTCTGGGAAACAATGCTACATCGCCATCATCTGAATCATAAAGAGGATTTTCTATGACAGCCACGGCAATATAGCTAAACAATAATAACCAGATAGTTGATAGCAACCGCTGCGATAGTAGCAAACACACAATAACACAGAAGATGCTGCGGGAGGGTTAAAAATGGGTTCCGTCTGCGATGGCCGCCACCTTGCCCCTCGTCATCGCCTTCGTGAGCCAGCTGTACTCACCACCAGTCAGCTCCTTCTGGCCCTTCGCCTTGGTCGTCTTCTTCCGGCTGAGCTCCTTCTCCTCCGTCTCGTCGACCTCCAAGTACAAGAAGCGCTTCTTATTGCGAGGGTTCCGCTTCGACTGGGCGAAATTGTATTATTGCGTTGATGAGGAGAGGGGGCCTGGCGGCAATGACGACGACGGGGGAGAGGAGGAGGTCGACGCGGAAATTGATATGACGACGACGGCGGGGAGGAGGAGGTCGACGCGGAAATTGATCAGAAGATCTCAGGGGGTTGGATGATCTCAGGACAGCGACGACGAGACCCTGCCAAACGATGTATCTCACTACAGATGCAATCGCACCGACGAGAATTTCCTGCGCGCAACTCCGTGCTCCTCCCTCCCACCCTCCTCATCCCTCCTCATCCCTCCTCCGCGGCCCCGACATTTCGGCGCGCCCGACGAGACATCTCTGCGCGCCACGACGAGACAATTCAAAGTCCCAACACTTCGTGACATTGCGACGATTCGGCGGCGCCATCCCACCATCCGTCACTTCGAGCTTCCCGTCGTCCAGCATCTCCTGCGCCTCCTCCTCCCCGTATTTGTCACAAAAGAACTTCCAGGGCTCCCAATGCTTCTTCTGGCGAAAGCCGTGCTTGAAGCCGATCTCAGTGCACATCTGCCAAAATGTGTTCTCCATCTTGGGGTCCTCTAGATATTGTCACAATGTTTTTTTTTTTTTTTTTTTTTGATTTTTCCAGATGTGCGCGAGCATCCATACGTGCCAAGATGTATGCAGCATATATAATGTCATACAAACATACGCGTGGTGATCTCTCTCTCTCTCTCTCTCTCGCTCTCATCTCTTTCCTACGGTGTATATATACATGCACGCAAATGCAGGTATGTGCGTGTACGCTTGTACGCATGTAAATATACAGCATAATTGCACGTACTGCACCCCAGCCATGCCAAGGAAATTGTATTCATATCAGATTAAATGCTAGACTCGTGAACAACACAAATAAAGAAACTATCCGCTCCAGAAAGAGCGGCGATACATTGTCGGCGGGCCAGGGAAGCGCACTAAGACAGTGAGGGAGCGCAAGCCTGTATCCAGGCCATCAGCAACTTCTGCTTGGCAACGTTCACCTTCCCAGCGCCCACCTTGCCAGCCTGGCTCGCAGAGGAAGCTGGGGAGTGGGCAGGGGGAGCTGGAGAGGAACGGGTTAATTCATGGGACGCTGGACTGGAACCTGAAGACATGGAGAGAGAACATGAGAGTGGGAAGAGAAGCGGAGCAAACAATTTAGAGGGGTGGAGGCGAAATACACGCTGTAAAATGCGACAATTGAAACAGATATCCGAAGCCGCGGACCTCCTCGTAAGCCGTCTCCGCATCTGCATTCTGCTGCCTCGACGTGCCGAACCTCCCGTACAGCGCGGAAATCTCATCCTTCGAGAAGAGCGCGCGGAACGAGGAGGGGTCGTTGACGTCGCCCTTCGCCTCCACAGGAATTTGTACATCGGCAAATGATGCTGACAAAGCTACAACGTGAGACAAGTGAACTGATGCAACATGGTGAGGGGGAGGTTGAAACACTACGAGGGGTGGCTGCAAACATTTCAAATATCGAGGAGGATACACATGTCACAATGCTGATTCAACATGAAACAAAGCGGGCCTTGAAGAGCTCGACCCTGCCGTCGAAGTCCAAGCCCTTCGCCTCCTCCAGCAGGTTGGTCCTCGCAATCCTGAGGCGGTGGCCAGGGAGGCACTGGACGCAAGCGGGGGGGGGGGGGATGGGGATATAAACAAATGCCATGTGGGCACGGGGATGAGGGGGCTGATAGCGCTGAGCAGGACCCCCAATTAAAAATACATGAAAGCCAGCGCAAGCCCCCGTGCATATCGACTTGAATTATGGCGGGGTTGTCCGTTTGCTCTCGGCGAGTCCCTTTTTTATCAGCTGGAACGATGGCGAGGCAACCTGTGGTAGCCGCGGCAGGCCTCTTGGCCGCAGCCTTGGCCTTCCCTGCCGCCTTCGCCTTCAACGACTTCTTAATGACAGCGCCCTTGCCTTTCGCGCCCTTGCCCTTCGTCGCCATGGCGCCGCGAGCGAGGCTGGGAGTGGAATCGCAAGACGATGCCGAAACGTTTCCCGCCTTGCCGCGAGGACGAGCCATGTGATATGATTAATAAGGTAATGTTCAGATGGACATATTGTGTCGCAAAGTTCACGCCGCAATTTGCGTGTCTCTGCTTGGATGATAGAACACGTGTAAATGTGTAGGCGATGCGATCACATTAACAAGTACCATTGGGTCAAATATCTAGAGGTCAACGAAAACGAACATGTCGAGTCACACCACATACAATAACCTCAACAATAACGAAGCAACATAATTGTCAGTAGTCCCATCAATTTGACACGAAAAAATGATAATGTAAACAATGTGTTGCACAACTTGTACATGTAAATACGTCGTATGTTCAATGTATATAGATATATACTAGTATATGCATTAAGTGTCCATTATATCACAACATATGTATCTGATCACTATTATATTGTGTGGTTTTGAAAATATATATTAAGTTGTTGTTTATGGTTTTTAATCATAAAAATGAGTTATCCGAAAATAAAAAAACTCAAGATCTTACGTTTATCTTACGTTTTACAAGCGTAAGATC